TTAAAATAGTGTTGAAAATGGCTCAAATTCTTTTTATTTTTTGAAGGGCTCAAGATCAATCCAAAGGAGAAGGACACATCACCCATGAAACTCCCAAGAAAACAAAACACGAAAATTTAGCTGGAAAGTGGAAACCAAAAAGAGGACAAAAGTCGAAACGGTGTCGTTTCTCTCAACGGTCGGTACGTGTTTCAACTCAACTGTTTTGAGAAATCCAACTCAATTTTCAATTTTGCCAAGTTTTTTGAAATTTATTGAGAGGGATAATAAAGTTACTTTTTTTTTTCTAAGAGAGTTTGACTTGGACAAACCTGATAATCCGACACATTTACTCTCGTTCTCTCACTGTCTCGACTCTCTACAAAACACATTTCGATTTGATTTATTAAATTTCTGCATTGATTCTTGAGAAAATATTTCGAAATTCACACTCTTTTTTTGTTGTCGCCGCAGTTGTTACTCTCTGCAAGCTCATTTCTAGTCTTCTTCACCACTCTTCTTCTTCTTCCTTAATTTTCTGGGTTTCGATTTTTGGTTCTTGGACTGAAAAACATGAGCGCTTCGAAGTTCATAAAATGTGTTACGGTCGGAGACGGAGCTGTCGGGAAGACATGTATGCTTATCTGTTACACTAGCAACAAATTTCCCACTGTGAGTTTCTCCTCAAAATCCTTGTCAAGCTTTAATTTTTCTTACTGGGTTTAAGATATTTTATCTGAAATCTTTGGTATTTGCAAATGGGTTTAGCTTAACGAAGAACCCTGTGATTTCTTTTCTGGTTTTTTTTCGGTTAATGCATGTTCCTCTTTCTCTAAATTCTAAGTTTTTAATCTTAAATTGTCGTCTTTAACTAGTATCTCCATTTGGGTTTATGAGATTCTAGAGTTTAGGAAGAGATCTTGTTTGTTTGCTTGTTAATTCCAGTTTCTAAGGCTTTCTCTGATGTATGTTCATGAATCTTTCTGTTTGTTCATGTTTTGCCAGGATTATATACCGACTGTGTTCGATAATTTCAGTGCCAATGTCGCTGTGGACGGACAAATCGTGAATCTAGGGCTATGGGACACTGCAGGTAAAACAAAATTTCCAATTTAAACTTTGAAAATGAGACAAAGAAATGAAATTGATGATTCAGAGTCTTCTAGTTCTAGGCCTTGAATCTCTCATACATTTTGTTGTTTATATGTGTCTTTAGGTCAAGAAGATTACAGTAGGTTGAGGCCATTGAGTTACAGAGGAGCCGATATTTTTGTCTTAGCCTTTTCGCTTATCAGCAAGGCGAGTTACGAGAATGTACTAAAGAAGGTATATATGAATCAATTGGAATAGCATTGGATTGTGAATTTGGTGAATGTTGATCTGTGTATATGTGTGTTTAAATAAAATCTGATTGTTGTTTTTGACAGTGGATGCCTGAACTTCGTCGGTTTGCGCCAAATGTTCCCATCGTCCTTGTTGGTACAAAGCTAGGTAAGTTTTGTTTATGCAGATTTTGGTTTGGAGTTTGTTTAGAATTTCACTTGGCTAATACTTTACGTCCTGGTGTTCTTAAGATCTCCGGGATGATAAGGGATACCTCGCGGATCACACCAATGTCATTACCTCTACTCAGGTATACATGTGTAATCTCACTGTTATATTGACATGAATTCTAAGACTTGAAGAAGCTCTCTCAAGCTTATGAATCTTTGGGAACAGGGAGAGGAACTAAGGAAGCAGATCGGTGCAGCTGCTTATATTGAGTGTAGTTCCAAGACTCAACAGGTTAGATAAATCCCTTCATAGAAATTGCGTGTAGACTCAAATAGGATTGTTTTGTGGTGAAAATGTTAGAATCTTTTGATGAATTTGCTTTGGCATTGTTGTAGAATGTGAAAGCGGTGTTTGACACAGCGATCAAAGTGGTTCTTCAGCCTCCGAGGAGGAAGGAGGTCCCAAGGAGGAAGAGGAAACATAGAAGATCCGGTTGCTCCATTGCGTAAGCGCTCTTTTCGCTCTGTGAAAATATCATAGTTAAAAAAAAGTACAAACAAGATTTACCAATTTCACCTGTAATTGTTTTTGCAGGAACATTGTATGTGGAGGTTGCACTGCGGCTTAGAACACATCACAAGTCTCAACAACATTGTGACTCTCTCTCTGGTCGTTTCTGGTTTCGTAGATTGAAATTGCAACTTGGAAGATTAGGGAACTGTTGGTTCTCTTATTTGTATGTGAAGTTTCTTTCTCTGTTTTTAGTTGTGTAGATTTGCAGATTCTGTAAACATTCGTCTTGTCTGGTTTTTACAAGTTGTTGGATCTTTTAGCAAATTTGGAATTCTCAATTTTGTTCTTTGGAGACATTTAGGTTTTATGTCGTCAAATATGGTGCACACTAAAACCAGACTAAAGCCAAAATGGTACTAAAACTTTTATAAATTGAAAGAAATCAAACAGAAAACATTATTATCAAGTAAAGTGATAATTCAATCAAATCAAAATAAACTTTGGTCCATCCATCTCTATAAAACAATGTTCAATTACGCAAATAATGTGTGCATGCTCATAAATATAAATATTTAATGCACATAATAAACATAGCAATTAATGTTTCAATTAATTAGTCATATACAGTTGAATTTGTTCAAACGGATCACTAAATTTAGATTGGTCCACAAAATTTCCACACAGAGAAAAACCACTAAAAAGAATAAAATCGTCGAGGGCAATTTAGTAGTTTACTTCACAACATGGGAACGAGATTTTTAACTGGGAAATTCGTTAGCGTTATGTG